AAATTATGTATTAAAAATATTTGATATGTAAATTTGTAAATTAAGAAAGAAACAAAAATCTTTTGGATTTTTGTTGGTTTTTGATGAAAAATTTGTGTGAGGTCATAAACTTCTTGTATGCCAATATACAAGCGTATGTTTTGGCGATGAAACCGACAACCGACATAAATGGATAACATTTTTGTGTTATAATGCATTATACCGTTATAGTTATATAGAAAAAAAATTAAATTTTTTTTTGTTTATTTGGGCTTTCATTTGTGATGAGAAAATTTAACAAATATTGCAGAAAACTGTAATTTTTTTTTTGTTGTTTTCAAATAATATTGTTATCTTATCATTAATAGTAGTAGCCTTCATCAAAGGTTATTGACTTTGGTGAATTTCCTGGAAAAACAAAATTTATTTAATTATGTAGTATGGTTTTTGCGCGATTATTTATTATGGATGTATGTGCCTATGAAATTTGCATATACTTATGGGAGAGTTTTATAAATTCAACAAAGACAAAATTTAGATATTTGAAAATTTATGCATTTGTTTGTACTACACGTGCGTACTTTTTACAAAATTATTAAAAATATTAATTTAAGAATGAAATTTTTTGAAAAAAATATATTATTTTTGAAGGATTTACTTATTATAATTTTTTCTTTTCTTTGATTAAATCTGAAAAGATTAAGTTCATGCGATAAATATAGATAACACACCTATATATATTAATATTAAATTTATTAAATCACATTTTATTTTAAAATTTATGCATGTGAATTTAATTAAATAAAATTAAGTAAATCTATTTTATTCAATTTATAGTTATGTTAGTTAAAAAATGTAGAAAAATGTGAGGTTATATTAAAAAAATTAAAATTTTATGAAGATCTAAAAATGTCTTTTAGTTTTAAAAATTATTTTATAAATGAAAATATGCAAAGTATCTAGTAATTTTTCACTAAGTCTCAAAAACATTATTCAATTTTATAGTTCAATAATATTTCATTGGGAAAATTTATCCGTGATATTATTTTTTTGAGGCGACATTGATACTTATAGCTTAAAGTTTTTAAAGGAATTTTTCATAAGGAATTATGAAAATTATTTAAATTATTATATTATTTGGTTTTCAGTGTATTTAATATTTAAAAGAAGTTTAACACGCAATTAACGTCACATGTTTTGTATATATACACTCGTTAAAGATCTGGAGATTCCATTTGAATTACCAACTTTGAATTCTATGGGAACATATTCCGATTTTCATATTTTCTGCTATTAATTTATTAAATCTATTATTTCGTTATCTTTTTAATATAAAATAAGCCGATTTGAAAATAAGAAAAGAAAAGAATAATTTTTTGGATTAATTTCTTAACATATTGCAAAAATCAGCCCTCATAATTCTTTAAACGAGCCAAAATAAAAAAAGTGCTTATTAGTTTCACTCTGTCCGTCCGTCCGTCCGTCTGTCCGTGTGTCTGTTTACAAAACTTCTACACCCTTGAAGCTAGAAAGCTGAAATTTCATACGTACATAGATTTTTACTAGAAACTTATTTTCGTAGAACAAAATTTTTATCTATCTCCCCCCCTTTAGAAGTAATACCCCCCCGAAACCCTAAAAATGCCATTCTTTAATTATTTAGTGCAATGAAATCATAAAGATTTTTCAAATTTTGCAAACGCAGAAAGGCAGTGGCTTGCTTCCCCTTGCGGGGTATACTAAAGGTTAACTTTAGAAAAACAAAATGGCCGCTCAAATTTACCGTTATCTAAAGTCCGTTTTTTCCAAATTTTTGATGTCGTTTATTTTCTAGACCCCAACCTGTAGAAGCTTGAAATTTTATAGGCTTTTAGACATTAACAAATAGTTCATTTCGTTGGAAGAAAATTTTTTTCCATCTCCTTCCCCTCTCAAGTTATTGCCACTTGAAATTTGTAAAATTTGAATTTTTGACACCTTATATTTCCGAAACCGCAAGCTTTTTCAAATTTCTATAAACACAAAAAGCAAACGGTAAATTCCATGACATTAAAAAATATAATTATTTTTCTTAACTCACATAATTAAACCTTAAAATCGAGTATTATGTTAACCCCTCTTTATATTAATTTTTGCTTTATTTCAAAGACTGCATGTATGTATCATCCTAAATATATGCAATCCTAGAAAGAGTTTTGCGTATGAATGAAAATAATTTTTAGAATGTGTGATAGGTATACATAGACTGTATTTAAAAGCAGAATTTTCACTTGCTAAAGGGAAAAGTGCTACAACACAAACCATTGGTTTGACCCAACTTTATTTAGGATTGTAATTTAAAATTGTAAGTGGCAAGAGTGCAGTTATAGTAAAAACTTTAAATTTTTATTAGGAAAATTCGCCCTTTATTAAAGAAATTTTGATATCTTGAGAACAATAGGTATTTACCGGTTTAATTCGAAAAACCTACTCATTTATCTTGTAATAAAAGTTTAAGAAGCAACAAAAGATCTAAAAAGTCCAAAAAAAGGTCATTATTTTGTTTGGACGCTCCTTTCTTAGTGTAGTCAAAAGGTTATATATTTCAAACATTTTTTCTTATACTTAAGTTCTTCGGCAAAACTTTGGAACACGTTTTTTGAATCATGTCTGTCCAAGTAAATGAACTCATTACTAATATCACATATCTCTGAGAATTATGGTTCTTTATAGGTTCATGTTATGGGACAAAGCGTTCTATTATTTATACAAGCTATGTTTATGCACAAAAATTGTGTTATATTATGTATATCAAGTTATGTATGTTATATATGCGCTCAGCAAACATATGTACATCATTTTCTTATACAAAAATTTTTACTACAGATTTATTTTTACATTAAATTTGGGACTTGAATCCATGTTAAGCGCAACCAAAACGTAGTTTACAAAATTTGTCATTATACATAATTATAGTGTGACAGAAAAGTTGCATAAAAATTTATTATTTCATCTTAATTGAGCTTGGTGTTACAAAATTTAATTTTAATTCAAAACCAGAAATCATTTTAAATCTATTAAATTTTTTGATTATCGCTTAAAAATAATATCGCGTATCTTAAGTTTTTTATTTAATTTTTTAATCATAATAACGGTATTGGACGACAAAAAAATTGTTGTATACAAACATTATTGCATTATCGTTTTCTTAAATTAAAAACGATTTATAAAAGAAAAAAAAATTAAAAAGAGGTTAAAATTTTAAATAAACGTTAATTTTCACTCATGTTATATAACTTGTGTATAAGTGTGCAGGTTTATTAGCAAAAAATTGTAACGAAATTGTAAAATTTTTAATAAATTCGTAAATTTTATTGGAGACGCTATAACTGAAAAGTATTTTAACAGTTTTTAGTTAATGTTTTAATTCATAAATTTTCAAAATTCCAGATCATGCATGAATTATATAAATTACTTATGAATGGCGAGACACTATCGATTATTTGAAAAGCACAATGCTATCTACATATAGTCAGAAGCACCAAGGAGTTGTAAATTGATAACCAGCCTCAAATTTACTTAAAAATTCCTTCTACTTCATAAATATTTAATATAATGAATTTTGTTACTGCTTAAGATACTTTAACTTTTAGTGTAATTTTTTGCAGTAAATTTTTTTTAAAAGAATTTTTATACAATTTATACTGTAACCTAGCTTTAGCACAAAATTGTCAATCTTTAAATTGATGCAATCAGTCTGTCATTCAGGAATTTAAGTGTTTCATATATATTAATGATAGAAATAAATTACAAGACATGTAGTAATCTCTTCGATATAAACCAAGCAAAACTCGAAAAATTCTTCTATTAATTACTATTAAAAGAGCAAAAATATTTAAGATTTTAATAATCTCGGTATTTTTTAATTTGAAATAACATCGCCATGATTTTTAAACAAAATTTTCAATTAAAACTTTAAATTACACCATTACACCATTAAAACGGAGTCCATTATCCTAAAAAAGTTGTAAATTTTAAAAAAATAAATCAATTTTTACATGAAAACGTTATAAAAATAAGTACATTAAATTAAATTTCAGAAGATGTTGGCGGTGCAGAACAAAAAGTTAATAACAAAACACAAAGAAACAGGAAAGGGCTAAATTTCAAGGAGAAAACGAAACGATATAACCCGAAGTACCTGTGTTTCCGGTAATAAGGCTCTAAATTAAGGCACTGTAAGAGACTCTTGATATATTAATATTATTGATTCAATTATTTACCAAGGATTAACTCTAATTTATACCACAAACCGTAAAAGCTAAAAAGTTTTTTGAACAAAATTAAAATCAGCTGCGAATCATGCTTCGCAAATATTTAAAGATTTTGAATAGCTACCATGTCATTATATCACCAAAATTAATAAAAACCTATTATTTATGAAAAAAAAAAAAACAAAAAAATTTTGAAAAATCGAACTATATTACCTAAGAAACTCGCTCTATGCCCATTAAGTAACCTAATGCAGCACTTTTTCAGCGCATACTTAGGAGTACAGCTATACCTAAAATAACTGTAACTGAAATTATAGCCTTCACTAAAGTCTATAAAAAAAATCTGCTTTTAACAGTCTTTGTCTACTTAACCGGTTGTGGTACAGTCTAATAGTAGAACTCTTTTTTTTTATTAACGGTTGTACATCGTATATTTCAATGCACGTCGTGTATTATAACATAAGCAGTGGCCCCTGGATAATTATTTAACGAATAAACATTTTAGATATCGAAAATTCATTAATAAGGATTGGTATTCGAATATGTCACAAAAAAATTCTTCTCTTTAGATTTTACTGCACTAGCAATAAAAAAAAATGACATTCGAATATAATCGAATACCAAGAGGCCAACTTACACCTATTTACTGCAAACTCAACAAAATTTAAATTTAGCTCAATAATTTTATTTCTATAATATTTTCTCATAAATTAAAAATTGAAATAAAATTTTAATAAAAATCATAAATTTTTAAAATTCAAATTTTACCTTTTGTAACACAATGAATTAAAAATGTAATCCAAATTAAAATTTTAATAACTTTAATCCCAGTTAAATTCATAATGATTTTTGTTTGTTTGTTTATTTTTTTATTTTATAAAATTCTCCTATTCAACACTCCAATATAGTGTGTATGCGTGTGTGTGTACTAAATATTAAAAATACTGATCCTCTTAATTAATTATTATTTAAATAAAATTATGGTTAACAGTTAAAATTCTCAATCTTTTCCATTTCTATATTCATTCGTTTAAATTTTATAATGTGAGTACACGAATATGTGAAACGAACAAAAAAAAACGGAGTGTGTTGTGTCGTGTGTTTGCTTGTATTATAATTGTTATTTTTAATTGTTTTGTTTAAAAATTATTGTTTAAATAAAACTTTTTCTTTAATTATTTTTCATATTTTATTTTGTTTCTTTTTTTTTTTTGCAGCAATTTAAAAAATTTATTATAAAAAATTTTCTCTTTTTTTTTTATAAAAATTTTTTTATTCAAAATTTTTCTAACACCCTTTTTAAACAATAAAAAAATGTATTAATTTTTTAAATTTTTTGTTAAAAAAAAAAATAACAAAAAACAAACAATTTTTTTTTTAGTTTAATATTAAAAATTAAATTAAATTTAATATTAATTTTTATTTCTTTTCTTAATTTCCAAAAGAATTTCAAATTAATAAATTTAATATCAAGTTTTTATTTTCATATTTTTTATTAAAGCCCACGCTCTATGGTGACATATAGATGGCGCGTTAATAGAAATTCGATTTTATTAACTGTTTATTTCAAAATTTATGTCGAATTCGATACGAGGTGAATATTTTTTGAAGGATGATTAAATAAATGGTAAGTAAGCGTTAGAATATATGCACACGATTTCGAATTTTTAAAATTCTCAATTAAATTTTAATTAATTTGCATTTCGGGTGTGTTGCGTTTATATTCTGCGTTTTGCGTTATAACAGCAATAATTTGTTCAAGTTTAAAATTTATGTAAAAGGTACCTCAATTCAATTCGAAAGATTTTTTGAAAAATTAAAAACTTTTTCTATGTTATAAAATTAATTTATTTCCCTTTTCTTTTTTGAATTTTTTTGACTATATTTTTACACCTTTACTCTATTTTATGTATCTGTAAATTTTAATCGATTTTAATTACTTTAAATTCACTTTTAAATTTATGGTATATTAATTAAATTTTTAATTTATAATTATTTGTGTAGGTAGGTCTGTGTTTCTCTTATGATTTTCATAACATCATCACTGCACTTAAAATCTTTTAAATTTTATGACCTTTCTTTATAGTTTGAAGAAAAGTAAATTTTTTTTTTTAAATTAAATGTTGTTTTTGTTTTAAATACGGTAATTAGTATGATGTAGGGAAATATAGTAAGTAACTAGTAATAGTAACTATAAAATAAGCAAGTAAACCCGAATACTTTTAATTCATGAGAAGCTCATTAATTTTTTTTTTTATTTTGAATATGAGTAAAAGTTATGATTATTACAATCTCTCTTTTTCTCTCTTTAATTTTATTATGTTTTTTTTTCTTTTCTCTTTATATTATTATAATTAATAAAAATTTAATTTGTAATTAAATTTGAAAAAAAAAAAAAAAAATAAAAAGAGAAAGAAAATTAAAAATAATTAAAATCCGAATAATCGCGTGTACAATATTTTTACATATACAACGTACGTCTTACTTGAATTAAAGATGAAAATAAACTAAAACTAAATTTGGTAAATATTATACTTTAACAGTTATATTTTTTCTTACCAGTTATACTAGTCACCATTTATAATATTATATGATTTTAATATACAACATATACACATAAGTCGAAGATAATATGTGTTATATTTGTAATAATAATGAGTGTATATAAGAAAAAAATAAATAAAAGAAGAAGAAAAACACAATATACAAATTTATTAATATGATGAAAATTGTAACATAAAGAAAATTGTGTAAAAAAATAATAATAAAGAAAATCAAAAATATATAAGAGAAAAACAAAAGCGTATACCTACATACAAACATAATAATACAGACAGACACTTGTTATATTGATTAGATGGAAAACCGATTTTGAAAAAAAAAACGACAAGAAAGAAAGAAGGAAAGAAAAAAAAACGGAAAGAAAAACTTCTTCCACACACACACACATACATACAATTGAGCTTTAATGAATTTTAAAAAGTTAACGAAAATATAGAAGTAAAATAAAAAATAACGTTAAAACTAAAACAGGAATTAATAAATAAGACGGTCTTATAAATGCATACTGTTAGTTCTAGGTTATGTTAGATTAGATTAGAATTACATATAAAGAAATATGCTATATGAAATTGAGGGCTTTGCAGAAGTCTTCAATAATATTCTTGATTTGTGTGAGTGTTGATTTAGTTTAGAGGAGTATTTAAAGAAAAGAAAAATAAAGCTTTTGTGAGGCACTTAATGTAAAATTATAGGTCTAAATCAAGTTATTACAAAATTAAAATAGAATAGGAACTCCATAATACGAACTACAGTTTTGCAACAAAATCAGTTCGTATAAGAGAGGATTTATGTAATTAAGAAAAAAATTTATGATGGAAAATGCAACAAAACATTCATGTGAAAGAGAATTTCGACTTATATTAGAATTTACAAATCTATAATACAGGAGAGTATTATTCAATTCAAACAATTTTAAAACATGAAAATGAAAAGAAGAAAAACTCTCCTTAAATGAATTCGAAACCTCCCCCCTCATTTGATTATGACAAAAAAAAACACTTTATTTTGAAAGTTAGATTAAACTTAAAAACGCATACAGGTTCATACAGGTTACTGGACCCTCGAAAAGGTTCCTGGAGCCCTTGGTTCTTTGGAGCGTTGATCCAACTTAGAAGGTACTGTTTCGATTGTCTTCGGGCGTATTGTTCGGAATATTGTCGGAGAAAAGTTATTCGGCCATATCAGAAACGTGGGTCACAAAAAAGTGCTCTAAGCAACTTATTAAACTTAATTTACACTTAACCCCTTTATTGTTAAAAAAAAATTTTTAAATATCTTAACACGTTATTAAATTTTAATATCGTATCATAATGCTATAATATCGTAAAATTAAGTGTTTTATTACAAAAATATTATTTCTATTATTGTCCTCATAGTTAGCTGTTATAAATATTTTATCAAATAACAATTTTTCAAAACTAACTTCATAATGCAATACCGAAAAATTTTCATCTGTATAAAGATTTCAAACAAAGTAGAAGTAAATTTAATTAAGACCTAACGTCGAATTAAAACTTAATACCAGCATTAAAATAAGGCAATGTTTTTTTTTTATTAATATGCCTATTACGTTTTTTTGTATTTTTCTTTCTGTATTCTTGTATTTTGGGTCATAAATTACAAAAAATTATTGAAAAGCATATAAAAACATAAGAGTAATAATTTTCATAAGTGAATTTAGAGACAAGCAATAAATAATTAATATGACTTCTTTAGTTTTAGGTTTTCGTTGCCGAAGAAATGCTATTCAAGCAAAGGAAACCGCTAAAGACAGTTTGCTCAATCTTGATCAATAAGTCAAGTTAACTCTATTTTATTTACTGTGTATGTTAAATAATCACTTACGATAATACTATTCTAAACCATTTTATGCTTCTTACTTATAAATATCTGCTTTTAGCAGTAATTAGAAGCATTTACTAACATATCACAAGAGGCTTTCTTATGAGTTTATAAATTTTATAACTGCGGTAATACTGATGATAATATTACTGTTAAAGTTAAGTTAAAATCATTCAAGTACGTTTGATTCCGTTTTCTTACCCTAAAGAAGACATCAAAAATGTTAAATGGGTGCTTAATACTTTCATATACAAATTTTTTACTAGCATATTCCTTGTATTTTCCTTTCTTCAAATGGAATGATTGCAGTATAATAAGTGAAAAATTTTACTGTATGCGCAGATATTACAAAAAAAAACAAAATATATAAAAAAGAAAACGCAGTGATCATAAAATGTAGCGGGATTTTTTTTTGTTTTCATAATATTGGTCAGTGCATTAGCTAAAAATGTGAATAAGTTTCAATGATTGTTTTTCATGTATTGAGCAACTAAGAGTAGTAAGTAGCTTTGGTTTCATAAGATTAGAAATGACATTATTACAAATTATAATATGTGAAATATTGCTGAATTACAAGCTGAAAATGTTCAGCGATCTTTGCTTTTAACATAATGCACGTATGTATGTGCCTATATATTATGTACCTACATATTATGATAGAGAGGAGGGAGAAAGAGAAATTCTTATCACCTTAATAATGTACGTCTATTGGGTATTCAATTTTATAATAAGTTTTGAGTTTTGTTTTGATTCTAAATGAATCTTGAGTGTTCAGCTCACACTCTCTTTTGAATAAATTTGTTTTCTTTATTTTGTTTTGATTGTTACCTGCCTTAATTGTAATATAAACATATCTTTAGCAGGTGATTCACGTGCAATACGATATATTACAAATTTTTATTTTATTATCTTTATTTCATCTGTGTTAACTTAATATTATTATAAATGAGATTGAAGATTCAATTTTGTGAATTTTAGCGGTATTAATCTTTTAAATTTTCCTTACAAACAATATACTGAAAATATAGAGATTACATCTTTGTATACACATAGACACACTGCTATTATTGTCAATAGCAGAGTGTCATACATAATATACACTCTACTGGCAATAAATTAAAGTTATTGTTTTAATGACATTATTTAAAATGGTAATTCAATACAAATTTTTCATAATGTGCGTATACAATTCAATAGCAACATAATATTTGTAATGTTATTTATACTGTTGTTTAAAATTCAATAAGATAATGATAGTAGATTATGTTCATTATGCTATTGTTATTTTTTATATTGGTATTTTGTTAATATACAAGTCAAATGTGCATATAATGTAGGTATATGTGTAAGATAAATTTTAATTATCGATGTGATGCACAAAAACTGTGTAACAAATTATAAGTATAGATGAGATGTGAAAGTGGAATGTTAAAAATGATGCTTAAAGTTTATTGAATTGTGAAGATGCACTTTTGTCTCATTTTATTTTTTTAATAACAATATTATTAAATTGCTTTCAAATAATAAATTTTTGGTAGACATTAAAAATATGTCAAAGATATTGGCATAATAATTTATTGTTGTAATATAATAGAGTGTATAACTGGGATATAGAGTGTATAACACAAATTTTGTAAAGGGAATTGTGATGCATGTGCATTTATTAATGAAACATTTTGAGTAAAAAATTAGAAAGGTGCTATATGTGTACTTTCAAAAGTGTATATTCGATTGAACAAAATGTATATTTTTAAAATTTCTTTTACTATTTATTCAGGGCAGCAAGCCATACAGCGGTTACAATATAAATGTTAGAGATAATATAATTCGTGATAAAGGTTACAATAGTAAACAAGGTATAAAACTGATGTAGGATTCGATTTATTAAAAATCCATATACGTTATGTGTATGGCAGTTCCATTCTCACGAAAGAAATATTTGAAAACAGTTGAAAATAAGAATGTACATAGGTACGCAGTAGAGTAAACAATGAGTATTATACCCGACTTATATATGGCAGCTTCAGTCGTACTCGAATATGTCCATATAAATGTCGGCTTCGTTCAAGCCAATCAAAAAATTTTGCTTACTTGACTTGAAATATAATAGTTGAACATTACTTTTGGTCTGTCAAGCTGACATATTGTAAAAACGCAGATTGAGTTTTGAACTGATTTCAAGTTAAGTATACTAAGTCTGCCATATAAATGCGGTAATAGTCAAAAAATTTTTAAATGACATCATTTTTATCCCAATTAAAATTATAGTTTTTTTTTTATTACATCACAGCCGGGATATTTCCCAGTTATCTTATTTTGATATTGGACAAACGTAATAATATTTATAACATTGCAAAAAAATATAAAGCCACATGTATAAATGTACGTAAACTATTTCTTTCAACACTATTCTTCAACTCACAATGTTGCACTGGACAGTATTTTTAGATAAAGTTTTGTAAACATAGTAAATGAAGCCAAAAATTTAGCTGCTAAAATTTTCTGTTAATAAAAAAATTTCAATATTTCAAGAATTCTTCTTTTATAACATTTTATAACACTTTTTCATATTATACCATCACATATTGTAAACAAAATGCTTTTGTAATTTCAAAAAATAAAATCTTACATAAAATTTGTGGCCTAGTTTCTTTAATAACTCGGAATATTTTTAGTTAGAAAATTTTGTAATTTGAAAGTTTATCTTTAAAATCTCCAAGATATGAAAATTTTATTTTAGAACTTTATAATTTTAGTTATGTAAGTTTATTAAGTAAAGAATAAAAAATTTTAAACTCGTTTATTATAAGAATTTCCATACAAGTTTTAAGAATATCCGAAAAAAAACAAAATAACTAGTTTATAGAACAGTTAGTATCATACAGTAAAAAATGTAAACTTTTACATAACCTAAGTCACAATGTGATAATTACATATATTCTTAAGAGCGACTAAAAATGATGGATAAAAATGATGGACAGGTATAACAATTTTGCAAAAATATAATTTGTTTGTATATGTATATAAATTTAAATGTATACCTTTCAAATATTTAAAGTATTTTGTGTGTAATATGTAAGTAGTTTTAAGTCTTTACACATACCCCGCCATCAGAATTGCGTTAATGAAAATGGAAACAACAATTATACTAAGGAATTATCTACACCAAAAAAATTTATAATTGATTGGCCACTATGTAGCACAGTTAGGGTATTAACTGTTATATGGATTTGTCTCATTGCACTTTTGTCATGAAATTCATAAAAACAACATTTACAATCTATATTTCTGTGTGTACCTTCTAGTTTTACCTTGGCATGTTTTACTACGGAGTGTTTGTTTAGAACAAACACTCCGTAGTAAAAACATTCTCGATACGGATATCAACCAAACGGAACTAATAATTATATTCATATAATTTTGTTATGAAATAAATAAAACCCATGATAAAGATTTTGTATAACTAAATATTAATGTATATAATATGACCTATCTTAGTGTCGAACTGGGTGCTATTAGTTTCGAGAGAATAAAATATATTTTATTATTAAAAATAGATGTAAAATTTATAAACTAAAAACTTAAATACTTGTTATAATATTGTTAATAATTAAATTTGAAATTAAATTATTTAACCAATTCATTCATAAAAATCAAATTTTTTTTTATAATTTCATTTTTTATCGTTATCAGATTCAAGAACCTGTTTATATACACCACGTGGTAGATTATTATTTAAATTATTTTCTGCATTATATCCACCAAATTTTAAACTAAATGGTTTGCGCACTGGATGATATTTTAAGTGAAAATCAAAACCATTTTTGTTAGTAACCATTCTGTAAAAAATATAAAAAAAAAAGTTTATTGTGAATAAATTGTATGGCATTGTATGTGTGTTGGAGTTATAAGCAATATCCATTGTTGTATATGTATTTCATACATTTGCTGAATATTTTATATTGTATAGAGCACTTACACATTTTCCTGTAAATCAAATATTGGTGTAACATTTATTAAAGGTGGATGAAAATAACGGTTAACATCTAATTTATAAATTAAATTTCCATGTCGAAAATATAAAATTTCTGATTGATGAAAATTATTATATAAAGTTGAACCATTTGTTTGAGTTGAAATAATATTTAGTACGAAGAAAATTAAAATCTGAAAAAAAAATTGTTTTTTTTAGAAAAATATTGTTATTGTTAGTATACGTGTATGTAATATTTTCTTTAAAATAGTGTGTACTATAAATATTTTTAGGTAGTGCCTCTGTTCGATAACTGAAATTTATTGTATTCACTTAAGTTTTAAGTGTGTGTTAAGTAGTGTTGTATACATTTTAATATTAATAATTTGTAGGAGTTCTCGTACTTTATTAATAATTTGTCTATATGTTTACGTACATTTATGTCAAAATTCAAAGAAACTAAATGAAATTTAAATTAAAATTATATGACTGAACAAGTCAATTAAACTGACTTTAGATGTCCCATTATATAAACGACCACAATTTCATATTCGGAATTTGAATATCCCAGTAGGGTAATTTGTTCGTCAAAATGTGCCGCAATGGAATCAATGAATGTCCAACACAGCACATAATGTATTAATACAAAATTCAGCTTATGATTATGATTGCTGAATAATGTATAGTTTTATTACAATTTAGAAATCACGACATCACTAAGAAATACTTAGAGTGTAGGTAAACAATGGATTTTGTTTTTATTTCAGAGTAAATTTTTTTAATATAACAATTTTATAACAATTTTTATTGACGAAAAGAAAAAAATCAAAATAATTATTTTATACAAACCATTTTTAAAAAGTGTTGCCCCATTTTAATAATTTTATTACTAAACGTATAGCACAGAAAATCCGTGAATAAGTAAAAGTGATTTGTACAACTTCTAATTAAGAACTAAAGTAATCTATCAACTTTATTTAAATGCTTCTCTAAAACTAATTCCTAATAATGATTTTATATAAAAAAAATAAAATAATACGAGGAGGGGTCACTACATACCATTTTATTTGGAATTGCAAAACAATAAGCCCACAGTTTATTTTTGCGTAAAACTAAAAATAAAAGAATTTGAATTAATAAATTGTTTGAAAATAAGAGTTTGCCTAACAAATTTGAAAACTTCGTCATGCACTTTCACTTAGGAAATAATAGATTTTATGTAAAATAGCATTAGTTAACTATATAAGAAAAAATTCACTTTTTCTAGTAAAATGCAATTTTTGAGGAAATTATGTTATAAATTTTTAAATGGATTTAAAAATGCACTCACTTCATACAGTACATAAATTGTAGTAGTATGGCGTTGTTACAAATTGCAGGTTGTCAAGTCAGAAAATTTTATAAAAAAAAATAATTTTAATTCTTTGGGTCAACCGTCGTCAAATTTCTGTGGATTATGGGCAAATATTTGCTATTTGAGTATGAGTATGGGCCACTCGAGTTTCTTACATTACTTACTTACAAGAAGAAATGACTTTATTGACAGTTTCGTTTTGACAAATAATAAATTTGTATAGAATTTAATTTACAAATTTTTTTTGAAAAATTTTACTAGCCGCAATAGAATATATTTTTTCTTGCAAGCAGAATGATGGGTCGCCTTATGAAGTTGAATGGGTCGAATTTTGTTCATGGACCACATTTTGTCGACGGTTGCTTCAGGTAATTTCAATTTCTCTAAAATCTCAAAAATAATTTAAATTTCGCACAAAATTCCTTGCCGTTTCCTTAACGTTAGCAAATATTCATATTAAAATTAATTAAATTTTAAATGTCTAGAAAAATCTACAAAACTGACTAAACTTTAATTCTAAAATTCCACATTATTAAATTTATTTGAAACCAATAATATTTCGATTCATTCCAAATTTATTTCGTCTTTAAATAAAATTAATGTACACCATATAAGATTAAGTGAAAGAATCAATAAAGTTTTTCCATTTAAATTGAAAATAGAATAGTTATAATACTTGTATTGTGCATTGGAGGTTAATAACTATTCAATTATAATGATGATAAAGGTAATGGGGGATTATTTTATCGTTTAATGGATCTCTATATATCTAAGGATTATTCTAGTAAATTAACTTCTGATTATCTTCTTATATACGTATAACAAATCTTTTGTATTTCAATAAATTCAATTTTACTTTAATTGTATATAATGTTTATGTAATTAGAATAATTTCTAAGAAATAAGTATATTGAAATTAAAATATTCGCGGTTTATATTAGTTATTTTACTATTATACAGCGGTAAATTTACCACATTATAGTAAAATACAAAATGAATTTTAAGAAAATACTAAAATATTTTACAAAATTGTAAATTTTTTTAAATTTTTATTTTATTTTAAATATTAAACAAATAATTTTAATTACATATAGATTATATTATGCTGTAATATTTAGTGTTCTAATACCATTTTGTGGAAGATTTTTAATAAGCGTATATAACAGTTTTATGATTTCATCAATATCTTTTACATTGGATACTCTTTTGTAAGTCACATTGAAAAAATTAAAATTCCATTTCACATAATTAAATTAAAACATTTTTCAATTATTTTTATAGTTTAGATTGGAATACGTCATTTGCAAGTATAACAGTATGTGAAATTTATGATAGAAGAAAAAATTTTCATTTAATTAACGAGATTTTTGGTCCAGAAAATGATCCTTTACTTTATGATTTTATTAATGAAGTAACATTTTTTAGTGGTTCATGTGCAAGTTGTTCACAATGTAATACAAATTTTTCATGTCCAGCAAATTTTAGTGATATAATACCAAGTGTAAGAATATAATAGTATTTTATATTAGAATTTTAAAAATGATTATGCAAAAATTTTTGTGGTACTCCGTATATGTATAGTTTCGTACACAATGTTCAAATTTATTATCAAATTGTCAATGGAATGAATTACCATTTAAATGTTGTGATAGATTTAAATTTGTAATGACCGAATTTGGACAATGTTATTCTTATAATTCAATACAAGTTGGGTAAATAAATGTTATATAATATTATAATATAGTATTACAGATTTGGTATTTATTTAATGTAATTAGTGGAGAATTATATTATATGAATCGTGAAACAGGACCTGGAAAATTATCTTTTATTGTGCATGAAAGTATTCAAATTCATATTCATCCAACAAATGATATTCCATATTTGTATGCAGAGGGTGTTATTAAAGAAACAATTATTAAAGGTTCAAAAAAAGAAATTATTTTAAATGTTATGGAAATATTTAATGATCCATCAGTTTATCATACATCACCGAAATTCCGAAATTGTCGTTTTCCTAATGAACTGTTAATTAATGGTATTTTAATTTTTGTAATATGAAAATCTTTTCAATTATATTTATAAATTCGGTTTTATTATGCATTTTTTTTTATTTAGGGGGTCGTTTATTTACACATTATGGTTATTCAACATGTATTGTTGAATGTGTAGTTGACATGCATATACAAACTTGTGGCTGTCAATTTTTCAATCAAAAAGATAGTGGTAAGTTAAATTAATCTTTTTTGACTCTATTTGAAATTTGCTCTGAAAATCTAAGAACAAATAATTTTCCACCAGTTCAAACAGTTGTGTCAAACAGTATTCATACAAAAACTTTGTATAAACTTCTTATAAAATGAACTTTATTCTAAGAATGAGTTCTAAAAAAATTTCGTTCGAAATTCTAGTTAGATATATTATGCAAAAGTTTAATGAAACTTCAATGAACACTGTCGTATTGCTTCGTTCTACTGAATTCAATTAATGCTACAAATTTTGATCAATGCAATAAATTCTGCTCCCAACATTATTATCAGCTCATAATAGGAAAACTCATTTGCAAAACTAGTCAACCAAAAGTGAGCAGAATTTTCAAAATTATTCAGCTTACAGCTATTAAAACTTACCTTAGCTATATTAACAACCAACTTCAATATGAAGTGTTCGATTTTGAATTAACTCTTGTACCAGCTGAGGTTTCAAACATTATTATTATAAATAATATATTTTTTTTTTATTTGTAGATTCATTGTGTAATATCGAAGGTTTACAATGTTTATCGAAAAATTTTGATAATTTTGTTGAAAATCGTCAAGACTGTAAGTGTATGTCATCTTGTGAAGAACCGGAATACAATATAGTTTTCACTTCCCCAGAACAGTATTATTTAATAAGAATTTTTATTCATTTAAATTTTATTTTTTCAATTTTTCTTTAAAGGTTCAACAAAAGCAGTAATTTTTCAAGTATTTCAGTAGCAATGATTGATTTACCAACAGAACGATATATACGAAATGTTGTAAAAACCGATTTGGATTTATTTAGTAAGTTTACTTAAATCAATGCAACATGTTTGATATGTTTTATGTTTGATACGCTTTAGGACTGATACTCGTTAATGCAAAGAGTAGAAAGAAGATTTCCATTATCAAACATTGTCCATGAAGTTTGGTCGGTTTGATTAAAATTTGTTGAAAGTTGAACGTATATATGAATATTAATACATCTGTGTATTATGTTTGATGACAAAAAGAGAGCGTCATGCAATTTTCATTAAACGATCAACCTTAATCAATGAATTATATTAAATCAATTTTTGATATTTAAATACTGTCTTGATTTTATGGCTTTCTTTTGTGATTAATTTCACATAATATAAAATAATTTATGTTGGCACTACATGAGAATTGATACAAACATAAAGATATTAAGACTCAAGCGTCTTATTCGTTAGTTGAGTTCCTCTGTTTCTAAATATTATTGCATACCTACAATATGTTCTAATGCTACAATACATACTAACAGAATTTTATTAATTTTCATAAATTTTCAGTTTCAATTGGTGGTATTGTTGGTTTATTTTTTGGCTTATCATTTATCTCGATTATTGAAGTTGTCTACGTTATTTTTGAAAAATTTAAACTTAAACTTGCTAAGAAGAAAATTTCTTCGAAACGTAAAAGGACCGTTCAAGAAAAAAATATTAAATGAGTTGTCAGTGCTTTTATTTCTAATTCTAATGGTTTATCAATATACAAGTTATAATATATAAGGTAATTTTAGATAAAAAGAAAATATAGAAACCATTTTTGATTCTTATTCTTTCATATTATCTAAAATCCATTTCATATGAAATGAAACATTTGAATATAATCCTGGGAAACTAACAGTTCCACATTTTGCTGTACCACCTGAAACAACCCCATATTGTACATAACGTGGTATAAAATTTTTACCAAATTTTAATAAAGAGAATAATGGTCCACCAGAATCACCACGACATGCATCTATATTATTTTCACCTCCAGCACATATATGTGATTCAAGTATACGTATATTATAACGGCGATATAATAATTTACATTTATTATGATCTGTAATTGAAAATGCCGCTTTTTGAAGAATTGATGTAACGTGATCTAAAATGAAATCAATAATTTGGTAAGAAAAAATATTTAAGTTGAAAATTATATTTCGTTAAATATAAATTACGTTTTTCAGTTGCACCCCAACCGGCAACATAAGTGTCTTCAATTTTCCGACTTCGTAATTCTGAGTAAATTGGTAAACATATTGTTGCTACGTTCCTTACTATAGAAGAAGTTTTGTCAGCATCTATATTGGATCCTATTTAATTTTAAAATAATGTTACCATTTAAATTAGCTGGTTCTGCCAGCCTGAGTAAAGCAATATCATTAGCAAATTGTTTTATATTGTAATTTTCATGTATTATTTTTTCTTCCACTGGAATATTTTGAATTACATCTGTACAATATTTTCCATCTTCCGTACAATCTGGATTTGTTTTAGTATTGTATTCTCCCAGAATTACAGATTTTCTATAAATAAAAATAATAATGACTATTAGTTCTATATACAAGTTCATTGAGGAAGAAATTGAATAATTAAGTATGAGCAAAGTTCTCTAACTTTTATAATATTCTTGCCCTATAAATAAATAATTATAAGAATATTTGTATATAATTACTAACAAAATGATTCCATCTACACTGGCGCAATGTGCTGCTGTCAAAACATATTTGATTGAAATTAATGAGCCGCCACAATAAAATGATGATTTTTCACCATTTGATGTTTCGTATTGTGTAAGAGCAATAAATCGGAACTCTTCTAATGCTGCATCATTACCATTTGATATTCGATCATCTAATGTCAATTGTAATACTTGACATTCTTTCGGTAACAATGCTATATTTGGATGTTCTTCAATAACTGTTTCTTTATTGATTGTTCTATCAGATATTCGTGGTTGTCTTAAACTAGTCAAAGATATTGATGATTCTTCTTCCTTTGCTTCAATGAACAATTTACGTGCATTGGATGACAAATAAATATCTTTACAGCATATATAACTCTAAATTAAATTTAAAAAATGAGAAAAATTATGAAAATAATGAAAATAGGACGAGGTGAATGTAAAGGGATTGAAAAACTTTTGTTTTAAAATACTATGCCATTAAATGTTCCGCAATTCGCTTTTACTAAATATATTAAAATTGATTGTGGAATTTTTTTCGGATCTCTTTTAACAATATCAAAAATAGATTTACATTCCGGTTTCGAAACACATAATCCATCTAATTCAGTCGGTTCTGGAATTGTTGGTGTTTTACATGTTTGATATTCTAAAAAAAAAGTGAAATATTAATGTTAATAATTATTGCATCTAATAAAAGAATTTAGTTCTGTTACATATGTTGTTTATGTGAAATTTGAAGGATTAATAAGAGATATGACGACATTTAGTTACTCCGGAATTTTGCATCTTAATCACGCCTTCATTATTAGATTAATGTATGCAAATATTAACACTTCAGCTTTAATATTTTCCAACATATTTTATAATAAATTTTGGGAGTAGTATTGTAAGAGTAAATACACTCAGCACTACAAATTTATGTGAGTAGATTCCATAGTTTATTATTGATTCTATAGTTTATTGGGAATTGATTGCCATATTAACTTAACCATGCCTCAATTAATTATTTCTTTATTAATTTAATCATTCTTACCATTCTGTCGTCTATTTTTGAGCGCGAGATGTTATTAATTTTCCTCATTTCTGAGATTTGTAAATGTAGTTTTAAAAGAGGCTCGAGGATGAATTTAATTCCGGAAACATATATACGAGTATTTAAGCTTTACATTTAAAAAAATATCTTAATTTTCATGTTCCTGCGTCTTGAAACGCAATAAGTTTTCGATATCGCACTTAAATTTATTCAATTTTTACCAGCTTAGAGCATCTAATGTTTGATTCCCTATAAATAATGTCTAATATATAAATTTTCATTAAACTCATACCGAATCACATGCATTAATACTCATATTACACAGAAGAAAGCTTTCCTAGCAGGCTATTATATCGCTTACTATAGTATATATACATGTATATAACTTTAATGATATTATGCGGGGAAGATATAACAATACTCGCTTATTTATAATAAAAATTTATATATTGTAATATTTACAAACTTTATTATTTAACCAACCATTTCAGTATAAATCTGTGTGGGTGTAACTTGTTAATTGTGTAATAATTAATAAAGTAATTAAATAATTAGAAATTTATTAAACTGAAATTCATAATTGTGCAAATTCAACGTAATCAAGTCGTTCCAGCTAATTCATGTCTTACAAGTAATAAGAGAATTGAGTTAATGAAATTAATCGAATATTCATTTAACATTAATGCAAATATATTTATTAAAGCATAGAATAGTTTTGTATAAGAAATTAAAATTTTTAATATTGAATATGGAAATTTATAATTAATTGAATAAGTTGTTGTGATTTACCCAAAATATATATGTATAGGGAATCCCATTTTATTGGGAAAATAGATGATAATATTGGCTGTGATGCTAGTATTATAATATTATATTCTTGAACTGGTTACAACACAATATTCCCCACTATGCGTCAAATGTATAACAAAAATCTACTCGTAAAGTTGAACCGAATTTGAAATATAACTCTGCCTGATTATTTGGAATATAACTCTGTCTTAATATTTAACTTAACTCTATAAATTTCTTAGGATATTTTTACGATTCTTTAAGACGTGACACACTGTCTCTTTTATAAAAATTATAGGAAATGTTCCCATGATTTTTAAGATTATTAGTGAAATCATAAGAAGTTCAAGTAGATGTTATAAAATATAAATATTATGTATATTATTTTATTATTAAACGTATAAGGACTTAAGTTAATAACTATATAAGTTACCGATTTTTTTATTAAGCCTACAAGTTATATAAGCATTTCATTGTTTTTTTATTGCACACAACCTTATCCTTGAAATCCAATTTCATTTGTACTCGTATTCATTCAAAGCCAATTATAAAATATTTTACCGGTTTATTTTAATGAATTATGCGTATAAACTTCAGAAAGGCACAAAAATTATATTGGACTTAAGGTAGGAAAAAATTAAAAATAAAAGTTGAATTTACTTACGTGCTTCATTTAAATTAATACTTTTGCATAAAAATACGATTATAAAATAAATTTTATAAAAATTCAACATTTTTTAATTCATAATTAAAAAAAAATTATATTTAGTAAATTTTTGACAATACAAAAGTTAATTGTAATTTTGTAATTTTCTTCAGCCGGACTTAAAATTAAACTTACTGAGTTGAGTGCTCAATCAAGACTATTTTATGAAATAATGATAATAAAGCAGAAAATATTGAAAAAGAGTAGAATCTTTTACAATAATTAATAATTTACTTACTATTTATGTTTAAAAATAAAAACAAGAAAAACTAGCCTTACTGGTATAAAAATAATATACAGTAGAATATTCTGAAAGTGAAATAAAGAGGAAATTTATAAAAATGAAAATTAAAAGCTCAACTATAAGATATGTATATAGTTGAACTTTCAACTATAGAACACATTTGAATTTTATGAATTGCTTACCCGTAACTGAAGTGTGAATTAGTTCAATATTTTGTTATACATAGTTATTGTTATTATTTTCAAATTCAAAATCTGTGGCAAGAATTAGATTTTAATTAATTAGTAGATAAATATTTGACATAACTATTCATTGTAAATATAATTAGAATAAATTCTTACCGAATAATTCCGAAGTAACGTGCTGTTTAGTAATATTGTATATTATGCAATAATATTGGCAACTGTTATACAACTGGCGATATTTAAATTACGAAAGAAAGAAGAAATTAATTATACCATGCAAACTAATGTTTTATAAACTTGGAACCATTTTATTTGTAATTAAAATTTCAATTTATGAATAAAATTTAAATGATTAACACGTGGTAGTGCAAGATTAAAATTAATAACAAAATTTTAACAATGTAGCCGGTTGAATAAATTTCAATATAATTATGTTATGTGTGCTCGGGGCTCATTTACTTTAATTCTGTATATTATTAGAAGCGACGTAGAAAGATTTGCAAGGCAATTACAAAAAATTGAAGTTAATAAGAGATGAAATTGTACCATAATCAAAAAATTATTAAATTTTGTATACTTAAATAGCATTTTAGTATAAAGATGGATCTGAAGTGCATAATATATTGTTCGCATAATGTTAACGATATACACAGTGCAGGTATTATAAAAAAAACCATTGTAAAAAACTGGTTTTAAGAGGATGTTCTGGAGGGGATGTTGAGAAGAAAGCCTCTTTATTTTAGTGTTATGTTGAAGAAAAAATACTTTAAGGATTAACAAAATAATGTTAGTATGGAAAAGAATTCTCTCTTAACATTTATTTTTTAAGAAGTTCATTTTTACAACAAAATATCCGCTGCACTGAAACTATTAACAAAATTTTATGCCGCTTATGCAGTTTATTATACACTATTATATAGAGTATATTTAATTAATACATGAAGTTCTTAAAGTTCTGCTTTCTAACCTTAGAGCTTGAATTTTCGGGATATCTTGTTTCCCGTATACGAACATTAGGTTCTGTCACAACAATGACATAATTAAATTACTATATCTGTATATATCTATAGTTGTAATGATGTAAAGATTAATAAATAAAGGATTTGATTTTACGGCGCCCATCATATTAATAAATGCCATTGATTTATCACTAATGTTACCAATCACATTAAAAATCTGCAAATAATTGCAAAATTTTCATTAATAGTTGTAATTTTTTTTTTTTATAATTATGATTTATTCTATTTATTATAAAAAAAATTAAAAAATAAATACAAAAAAAATAAATAATATTTTATATCACATTCATGGTTTAAGATTATCTAAAATCCAATTCATAAATTTAGGGACATTTGTATAAAGTGAACCACCGACAGCATTAGTGTCACCACAACGTATTGGTGGTCCTGAGGCTACTATTCCATATTGAATGTATTTTTTTATTTCTCCAATTCTTAATTGCCTTTTGTTAAATAATGGTCCACCTGAATCACCTTTACAACTATCAACATTCTTTTTTCCCTTTGCACATAATACCCTATCCGTTACTTTTACTGAATGATTTGCCAAATAAGAATTTTCACATTTCTCTCTTTCTTGATTAACTAAAAGTGTTCCTACTTGAAGTATATTTGATGAAATATTTTTTTCTGTACCTCCCCATCCACTTATTTGACCAGTTTTTACATCTGCATTTCTTAAGTCAGCAGTAATAGGTAAACAAATTGATCTTACATTATTTGCTAAAAATTAAAAGAACAAAATTTAGATTTAGAGAACCAAAAAATAATAGGTCTTTTGTCATTCTTACTTGTCATATTTGCTGGTCTACTTAAACGTATTAAAGCGATATCATTTACTCCTGCAAACCTTACATACTCACTGTGTGTAATTCTACTTTCAATTTTGATATCTTGTGGCGGATCGTTGCAATGTTCATCATTATTAAATTCATCTATTTCGCAATCTATTTCTGTATCTACATTATGATCACCAAGTCGAACACTGAAACTTTTTATAAGAAAAAAATTAAAAACGCTGAGAAGAAAAACAAAATGAATTTTTTTATTACTTACAGCTCTGGAGTTATACAATGAGCTGCTGTTAGAACATATCTTTCATTAATCAATGATCCACCACATGCATAAAATGGACTTCTTTCTTCATATTGTAAATGTGCCATAAAAGGAAATTCATTTAATCCTGCTGCTTCACCATTTGATACTTTATTTTTTTCTGGTATGTCACCGCAATCACTTCCTAGTAGTTGTAAATTTTGATGATTTTCAATGCCAGCTGTATTAATTGATGGAGAATTTGGAGTATCAAGAATGGGATTGTGTACAAAATTTGAAGGAGATTTTGAATTAGAAATACTTTTATCAACTAGGCCATTTGAATTTATTAAATTATTGATCTTGGCGAATTCAGGATCAATATGTTGTAGTACACAGCAATATTTCTTAAAATTAAACGACATGTAAAATGTACATATAACAATAAATTTAAAAAATAACTGTTATAATTTTGTACCTCTTCAATTTGATCGGAACAATTTGAATTTCTTATGAATGTATCATATCGCATTGGAAATAAGCTTAATGGTAAATCACTTATATCGGCAAGAATTTTACATTGTGCTATTGGTATGCACCAACCTCTAGCATTTTCAGGTGATGGAGTAATACAACTTTCAATTGCTAAAATTAAAATAGAACCATAATTTCAAGCAATAATAAAAATTTTTTTAATAAACAAATACAAAATTTATTTAATATTTTTATGTAGGCACTCCGTAGAAATACGTTTCCATTTTTTGATTTTGTAAATTATTTAGAACCTGCTCGTCTATCTCGCTATTTTACTTGGCATGTAAGAAGGAAGTGTGTAACTATCATGTATTCGTACAATGCATTTTTTGTGTTAATTATTCGATATTGCCTAATCCTTTTTACTAATTTAATGTATTGTCAACAAATATTGGAAATAATCATAAAAATCATTTAAATTTCTATTGTAACGACAACACCGAATGCGTAATTTAAATATCGCCAGACGCTATACAACTGACATCAGTCGCGTTTAATTAAAGCAAGGTTATGATTTCATGACATAAAGCAGATAATGACAGATTTAATGTTTTAGAAAGTTGTTTATCACTTTTATATATTTTTAAATTGAAAAAAAAAATGGATTTATTATTGTTTTGAAAATAAATTTAATTAAGAAAAAATATTCAGTAAACAAATTTTTGTTACATATATAATATGCATGTACTTAGGTGTTTATTTATTTTTAAGCAAAACTGTTATACAAACATGAATGTTAAAATATCGAGTTTTAAAAAAATATTTAAAAACTTTTTCCAAGTTGAAAGCGTTCAGAAAATATTTGATTTATTGTTATTACAGTTACATACTTTGACAATTCTTGGATTACCCTGTTTTTTGGATTGTCAATTTCAATAATGTTTTTATTTTAATAAGACTAATATTAATTACAACGTATATGCCTTATTGAAATATCTTTAGGTAATTATTTTAAAACCTTATTGAATATAAGTATAACTTGAAAGTCTCACTTAAACCACAGGGTTTTCCCGTTACGTTTCAAAAGATTTGTAAATTTTTGTTTTTTTTTTTTCGTATTTCTTAATTCTAAAATTTTACTTTTAATTATTATTATAAATAGCTTACAGGTCATAGCGAATATATTTGACACATTGATTCCAAGAAATGTTAATATATTCAAGACTAATATTAAATTCATTTTGAGCTTTTTCACACAAAACAAAATTAAAACGAGTTTTAAGTAAATATACTTATGTACATATGTTGTATATATTAAAAAATTGAATAAAAAAACAAACTTAATGCAATTTGAAGATTTTAAATTTTTTTCTTATTTATTAATTTAAGCGTATAAATAGGAAATCGAATCGAAAACAAAAAAAAACTGTGCGAATAAAAACTCTTAAAATAATCAGTTAAAGAAACCCTTTAAGAGATCCGATCGTCTCGATAATAATTTTGATACTGATCATTAAAACGATATTAAAACTTTTTATATTTTAATAAAAAACGAGAAAAAAAATAGAGTTCACCATGTCAACTCTGTGATACCCGTACGAATTTGTTATCCTATGTGCGAATAACTAATGTGCCATAACTAACTATGGGGCAGACTATGTCTTTAAGTTGCCGTATTAACATATTAATTTATGCAAAATTTCAGTACTATGTGTTGTTCAAAATACTGGTTGTGCCAAACTACTATTGATGTTGTATGGCAGCTACCAGAACATCGGCCCTACTAATATATTCGTTTGTGTGAAATTTCAATACCATAGCTTTAATAGTTTCTGAAATATAGCCAAATAATTTTTGAAGTTGTATGGCAGGTACCAGAAGTAGCCAAGTAATTTCAACGAGTTTTATGTGGCATATTGGTCCTACTAATATATTTGTTTGTGTGAAATTTCAATACCATAACTTTAATAGTTTCTGAAATATAGCCAAATAATTTTTGAAGTTGTATGGCAGGTACCAGAAGGAGCCAAGTAATTTCAACGAGTTTTATGTGGCATATTGGCCCTACTAATATATTCGTTTGTGTGAAATTTCAATACCATAACTTTTATAGTTTCTGAGATATACCCAAATAAATTTTGAAGTTGTATGGCAGCTACCCGAACCGGTACCCCGATCATGTCCAATTTAAATAGGGTTCTGGCACTTACTACAATAAATCATTTGTGAAAATTTGGTAAACTTAGCTCAATTAGTTTTTGAGTTATCGTTGGGACGGACGGACGGACGGACGGACGGACGGACGGACGGACGGACGGACAGACAAAGCTAAATCAACTCAGAATTTAACGCTGATCAAAAACATACACTTGAGTCTATATCTAACACCGTTATTTCTTAGCGTTACAAACGGTAAGGCAAATTTAGTATACCCTTCGAACATACGTTCGTACGGGTATAACAATAAGAATAAATATGGAGTGTCATAGTATAAAAATGATTTGACATACAAAAAAAAAAAAAACTGAAAATTAAAAATTAATATGCTCAGAATTAAAATTGATTAAATCCCTGTTATAAGAATTTAGAGGTAATTGTGAAACTAACTAACATAATTTGTGAGTCAGCCCAGTCGGCTAATGTGGACCATCAATTATGTCCGAGATACCGTTTAGAAGAATTTTATGTGAGTATTTATTTTTATTGTAAAATTTATATTTCCTTCAAAAGTCGAAATTCCGTGTATTGTGGAACACCATGCTTCGGGTATTTCACCGTACTTAATCTGCACTTTTAAATCGGCTGATAACTAGCTTTTCAAAAGATAAGTTCTTTTGTATCAAATACAATATGTACATGTATTTACATATTGAAAGTATTTCATGCGCTTTTCTTATACAAATTTAACAGGTGTATAAAAACCGGTTATAATATACGTTTTACTTTAATTATATACAGGTAGGTACTTGTATTTTAATGAACCAGTAGTCAAAATTTACAATAAACAAAAACATATTGTTTACTCCCCCATGTATTAATTGCTGTCCTCTATTATAGCTCTTTTCGGAGATAATCGCTTTATATTAAAATATGTTTTGTTATAGTTTTAAGTACTTTTCCAAAAAAAAAATAAAAAAAAAAAGTGCTAATTAGTTGTACTTTGTCCATCCATCTGTAAGTGCCTCTGGTTACAGAACTTCTATGCACCCTTTCAGATAGAAAGCTTAAATGCTGTAGACAAACAAATCTTTAACAAAAAAGTATTTATTTAGAAGAAATACTTTACCTATTCCCTCCTCTCAGGTTCCGAAAAGCGCGAGTTTTTCACTATTTATTGTGACGAAACCACACATATTTTTTAAATTCTAAAAATGCAGAAGAGTGACTGGCTATTTTTACCGCGGCGTGACGCAGTTAACCATGATATACTACTTTTTTGCATTTAGACTTTGAATTGTAGGAGTCTGAAATTTTATGAGTGAAATTTGAATTTTCGGCGCCTTGTATTTTTATTTTTCCAAATTTTGATAATGCAAAAAGCTAACGGTTTCCATAAAAATGCAAAAGGCATAATTGATTCCATAAAAAATCAATTATTTGTTTTAACTCATGCAATTAGGCCTTGAATTCGACTAACGCCTCTTTGAATTATAGTAATGTAATAGATTCGTTTTTAACAGCACTATTTTAACTTTTTGAAAGGAAAAGTGCTAATTTACAAATCTTTAGTTTACCCAAACTTAATTATGTTTGTTTCCCATTTCAATACTTTCGAATGTACACAATATATGTACACAATAATATATATGTAAGTTATAATATAATTGATGACGTTTGTTATTCAGTAGTTATGTTGTTGTAGAGAAAATGTTTAATAAATCAAAAATTTCAGGTTTTTTTTTTTATCAATGAATTAAATACAATATTGAGTCATTAATTTTCTTCTACTATAGGTTTATTTTGTGGTCGGCTTTTAAAACTCACCCATATTATGTTTCTAATTTTAAAACTGTTATGACCTAGTCTATTGGTTCTATAAATTAAAAAAAAACAGTTGTTATGACACAAGCTCAATTTGTTTTTCAATTTAAGAGATTTATAATTATGAAATATTCTATTAGTTTATTCATCAGTAACTGCATTTAACTTAAAAGACCGATTCTCAAAAAAAATAATTCGAGTTTATCAAATTGAACAGCTGATGGAAAATAATTCAAGTTCCTCGTTATATTTTGTATAAAATTATTGCCTTACGATCATAATTTTTATATTATAAAATGTATAAACGTATTTGTAGCGCTTTCAATAATATTTATTAACATAAAAATGACCAATTGTGTTAGCTTTTGGGAAAACCCTAGCTTTAAAAAAAAATTAAATCATAATTTTAAAAGTAAAATAAAAATAGCGTAAATATTTTAATTGCAAGTATTTTGTTTTTGTTATTTCTATGGTGAAACAATACATTTGAAACATTTGGGATTCACAATCGCAAAATATTTACAATTTTTGCGATTGCGAATTATTTACATGCTTAGTTACGGTATTTTCATCTTTTTTGGTTTTGCACATGAAATTATTAAAATATGTAGCGTATTAGCAAGAAATTGTATTCAAAACAGTATAATAATGAAATTATGATAAAATTTAAAATTGAAAAGAGTTAGACAAGATTTTCGTTTATTCTCAAAAGTAACTGGATAAGTTCATAAACAATATTAGTGCCATAATTCGCTTGGCTTTTATAAATCTTCGAATTACAATAAAGATAAAGAAATATTTTTATTTTTTGATCTTCACAATAGATGTTTAAATTAATCCCAATTTTGTTTTGTGAATCTTTTAATATAGAATCTAGATTTCAAAATGTGATATTGGACTGAACGATTACTTGCATGAAAGTTATATCTTTGGTATATATTATATATATATGTATGTACATTGTTTGATTAAGAATATTCTTAACGTGTGTGTAAGATATAGAAAAAATACTACGAGCTGAAACAATACTGTTAAAATGTAAAGAATGTGTTACTGATCTGCATTTCTATATGGTGAATTATATTTGAATAATTTCTAAATTTTAATTTCAAATAGGTATACTTAATTAGATTTGATGATATTTTCGAAATAGTCGGATGAATATAACAGTTTTTATTTATTTCATTATATATGTAAAAATAGTTAATGAGTATATTTTTCTTTAAATCTCTCACAAATTACTATGTTGTATAATAACTATTATAATTTATTATAAAAATTAATGTTAAATTAAAAAAAAAAATTATAAAATTATAGAATGATATTATTATGGTTTTAAATTATTTAAAATCCATTTAATATATTTTTGAACATTCGTGTAAAGTGATCCACCATTTACATTAGAATCTCCACATTTAATACGTGGTCCAGCTGAAACAACTCCCATTTGTACATATTTTTTCGGTTCTCCTTTTTCTAACTGAAAACGCTGAAACAATGGTCCACCAGAATCACCATCACAAGTATCTACATTTTTTGCTCCTGTTGCACATATGAAAGTATCGGTTACATCAACTGAATAAACTCTATTATATGTTTCGATACATTTTTCTCTTTCCTTATTAACAAGTAAATTTCCCTTTAAGAGTATCTTTGACGTTGTTCCTAAAATAATTTTAAATTCGACTTAGTTATTTGAAAGAATACTAATATAATATAAATCTTACCATTTTCTGTTGTACCCCAGCCAGCAATAACTCCTGAACTAAATGTAACATTCGTTGGTTGTACTTTTATTGGTAAACAAATAGTTTTAACATTGTTAACTGAAAATTTTTTAAATTACAATTTTAGTGATTAATGGTCTTACAAAGATTACACCACTATTAAAAAGAATATTCCTAAATTTGTATTATATTACCTTCAAAATTAGCAGGTCGCTCTAGACGTAAAAGTGCAATATCATTCGTTCCTTTAAATCTATCAAATCTCTTGTGTGCTATTTTATTTTCGATTGGAATATCTTGAACCGGATCATTACATATCATTTCGTCATCATATTCTTCATCAAAAGGCTGACAGTCTTCTATATTATCGATAGTGTGCTCACCAATTCGAACACTAAATCTTTTTTTTTTATAATATTAAATTAATAAGTTTCACATATTTTCTCTATAACATAATAAGTAACAAAACTTACAGACTAGAAACAATACAATGAGCTGCCGTCAAAACATATCTATCATTGATTAAAGTCCCACCACAACCAAAATATGGTTTTCGTTTATTATATTGTAAAAGAACCATAAATGGAAATTCTTTTAAACCAGCTAAATTACCAAATGATATTCTATCGTTTTCTGAAATTTCTCCACAATTATTTGGTAAAAATTTAAAATTGGGATGTGAATTAATATCTTCGGTATCTGAATAGCTTACAATACTGGAAACGGTATCGACTTTATCGATAATAGGCTCATCAAGAGTATCTGTTTCATTACAAATCGAACTATTGGAGTCGTTTAAATTTTCTAGATTATGGAATTTAATAAACGTCGGATGAATATGTTTTAAGATGCAGCAATATTTCTAAAAATTATAAATTTCTGATTAATTAAAATTTAAATTAAATTAATTTTAAATAAATTATTTTACTTCTTCTGGCTCATCTTCACATTTTGAGTTTTTTATAAAATCTTGATATCTTTTTGGAACCAAACTTAATATTTTAATAGCTTCTTGAATAATTTTACATTGTTGTATTGGAACGCACCATCCATCGCTATATTCAGGATAAGGTGTTTTGCATTTTTCAACTGCAACTGTAGAATATCAAAATTTATTAATACATATACAATGTACAAAATGAAAGTAGAATTCATTGTGGAATTAAAAGATTTTTATTGTAAACTAAAAAAATAACTTATATTTCAAGTTTATTGTAACTCAGTTGAGTTATTAAAGTTTATTTAGTCCAATAATAGATCAGTGTTCTATATGGTGCAAAGAACATTGCACCCGTTATTATTAATTTTACAATTGGTTTATTATTTAAATAATGCCACTCTTGTTCTTCTCTTCCAAAGCTACCATCACTATTCTTAAATTCAAAAATATTTTTCGAGTATACAAAACTTACTTATATTTTCAAACAAGCTTAACACTATAACACCAATCAACAGTAATCTTCTGAATAACACTGCACCCATTTCGGGCTCTTGATTTGTAGTTTATATTTTTGATGGAAGAACTTTATGGCAACATTAATTCTAATTTTTTAAATTAATATTTATTTTGTTCAAGTTTTCGAAATTATATTTTAATAATTTAAGAAAATATAAAAATCATTTAAATTTATCTAAAATTTTCTTTTTTTAAAACTAAAAATATAGAAATAACCAATCTACTCAACAGAAATAACAACACTAAACTAAAATTTTACAAATTTCTCATATTAATATCCAAAGAGAGTTTTGTCAGCATGGTTGCCTTAGGCAGGTTTTAATGCACGTTTTAAATTTTTATTTAAAGGTCAGCTATCACGATTTCAATATCCTATATTCAGATAAACAAATAGGGGTATCGTAGTTTTACAAATCCATTTGTATTCACATTTTATTTTTAAATATAACAATATTGTGGGAAAATATTTGAGTGAAATATTGTAAATATTGTACTTTTGTATTCAATATCAGAAAATTCTTCCCACAATCGCCGACTTTTGAATAAATTTTCAATTCTTAATTAAAGAAAAACAATTTTTGTTTTCCGAATAATTTATTACTAATTTATTTAAATTATGACACAGAAATATTGCAAGTTTTTTTCATATTTTAAAAGCTCTGGTAAATAATAAATAAGGTAATTTGAATCTAGTAAGTCATAAGTATAAGAGGACAGTTATTTATAGAACGATTAATTTTTTTAAAATATGCTCGATTCTCGAATAGAAAATTACCTCCAGGTAGGGACTAATACAGCTGTGAAATAATAAAATGGTAGATAAATTATCAAGTAAAATTTTGAATTAATGCCCCTCTACACTATTAAACGAAAAATAGTATCTTTCTTAATGCCCATACGTATACATCATTATACTCGTAATTTGTTTCTGTTTTGATTTTTAATTTGCTGCTTAATTCGAAAGAAAAATAATTAACAAAATGCAGCGAGAGCATAACTAATGCTGAAGAGTGAGTGAATAAAACGCTTAAAGGTAGAAAAGAAAACGTGTTTTATATTTGTAATACAATTCAACCGAATCACTAAGGTTCTCTCGGGTTTTGTAGTTTTATTTATTTTCAAGCATACTGAATATAAAAATCTGATAAAATTAAATTTTTAAATCTAGTAAGTGATATCTTAACTATTTAAAAAAAAAAAAAGAAAACTCTCTTAACAGGTTCAAGAATTTTGTTTATAGTTTCTTTACTAAACACGTTGGGAGGTGTAAAATAACACAAAAAAAAAAAAACAAAATTTAAATAAACAGAAACAAAGTGTTTGAAGATCTTTTTCATAGCCGTTGTAATATTACAAAACCTCTACAATAAAATTAATTATTTAGAATATTTTATAAAAATTTGTCCTAAATGTGTTCCAGAGAACCAATTAATTAAAACAAATAAAAACAAAAGGGTTCGTCCTTGTCCCAAAAGAAACAACTTGTGAAAGTTTAGTGTCGATTGCATAATTCCTTTTAGAGTTATCGTGCGATCGGACGGACGGACGGGCGATCGGACATAACTAAATCAATGCAGAATTTTACGCGGAGCAAGAACATGTCATATATATATGTTATATGACATATATATATGTATGTCCTTACGCAGATGACTCCTTTAAGTAGTTACAAACTCCATACCAAAGTTAATATAGTCTTGCAATTTCTTTCTGTGGTACTTTTGAGTCGTCATTTTAATAAACTGCAATTAACAGGTAACAAATTCAAATTTGAATGTAAATCGATGCTTGAAAAGTCTGCACGAGTAACCTTTGAAATAGCTCTTATTATAGTAGAAATGATAGATTTAGCCTCTGGAATATTCTTATTTTGTTCAGCAAAGTTGCTGAAAAATAAAAAAAAACGAGAAAAAAAATAGAGTTGACCTTGTCAACTCTGTGATACCCGTACGAATTTGTTATATTATGTGCGAATAACTAATGTGCCATAACTAACTAAGGGGCAGACTATGACTTTAAGTTGCCGTATTACCATATTAATTTATGCAAAATTTCAGTACTATGTGTTATTCAAAATACTGGTTGTGCCAAACTACTATTGATGTTGTATGGCAGCTACCAGAAAGAACCAAGAAATTTTAGCGAATTTTATCAAGCACATCGGCCCTACTAATATACTCACTTGTGTGAAATCTCAATATCACAGCTTTTATAGTTTCTGAGATATAGCCAAATAACTTTTGAAGTTGTATGGCAGCTACCCGAACCGGTACCCCCAATTACGTCCAATTTAAATAGGGTTCTGGCACTAACTACAATAAATCATTTGTGAAAATTTGGTGAACTTAGCTCAATTAGTTTTTGAGTTATCGTTCGGACGGACGGACGGACAGACAAAGCTAAATCAACTCAGAATTTGACGCTGATCAAAAACATACACTTGAGTCTATATCTAACACCGTTATTTCTTAGCGTTACAAACGGTAAGGCAAATTTAGTATACCCTTCGAACATACGTTCGTACGGGTATAAATAGAGTTGACCTTGTCAACTCTGTGATACCCGTACGAATTTGTTATCCTATGTGCGAATAACTAATGTGCGATAGCTAACTATGGGGCAGACTATGACTTTAAGTTGCCGTATTACCATATTAATTTATGCAAAATTTCAGTACTATGTGTTTTTCAAAATACTGGTTGTGCCAAACTACTATTGAAGTTTTATGGCAGCTACCAGAAAGAGCCAAGAAATTTTAGCGAATTTTATCAAGCACATCGGCCCTACTAATATATTCACTTATGTGAAATCTCAATATCACAGCTTTTATAGTTTCTGAGATATAGCCAAATAACTTTTGAAGTTGTATGGCAGTTACCAGAAGGAGCCAAGTAATTTCAACGACTTTTATGAGACACATTGGCCCTACTAATATATTCGTTTGTGTGAAATTTCAATACCATAGCTTTAATAGTTTCTGAAATATAGTCAAATAACTTTTGAAGTTGTATGGCAGGTACCAGAAGGAGCCAAGTAATTTTAACGACTTTTATGAAACACATTGGCCCTACTAATATATTCGTTTGTATGAAATTTCAATACCACAACTTTTATAGTTTCTGAGATATAGCCAAATAAATTTTGAAGTTGTATGGCAGCTACCCGAACCGGTACCCCGATCGCGTCCAATTTAAATAGGGTTCTGGCAATTACTACAATAAATCATTTGTGAAAATTTGGTGAACTTAGCTCAATCAGTTTTTGAGTTATCGTTCGGACGGGCGGACGGACGGACAGACAAAGCTAAATCAACTCAGAATTTGACGCTGATCAAAAACATACACTTGAGTCTATATCTAACACCGTTATTTCTTAGCGTTACAAACGGTAAGGCAAATTTAGTATACCCTTCGAACATACGTTCGTACGGGTATAAATATACACGCCTTTATATAATTTTTTTTTGAAAAAAAAATAAAAAATTATTTACAAATATTATTTCAATTTTGCGTTGTGCTATTGGTACACACCATCCGCTCTCATTTTCGGGAGTATGCGTTCGACTCAGAAAAAAAAATTTCCGTATTTCTCAATGAGTAATTATTTACATAACTCTTATATTATTTCACAGCATATTTTATGAATTCCACCTTTAAACTATTTAAATACTCATGCGAAAAAAGCTCACCCAGATTAGCACTAGTCGTTCACTGCTACTATTTTGTAAATTATACAGCGTAATCGTAGTACAAAAATAAATAACAATAATATAATAACAAAGTAATCAAAGATTATTTTGTTGAATGGAAGCTTATTTCAATTAAATTGTAAGATTTGAATGTGTAACAGAGCCAATCACAATAAAAAAATCAAAAGAAAGTGTTGCATTATTTTCTAGTATCATTTTTTTATTTTCTAATTTCTCAAGTTATTTTTGGGATGTCCCACATGTACATATATGACATAATCGTGATTAGTGATTAAACGCCAATAACGTACATGATACTTTTGCTTTGCCGCGTTCAAAATATTGTTTGTTTATGTTTGTATTAAAAATTGATAACAAATTTATAGAGAATATTGATAATAATTGTAGGTTTTGTTTACGGGTGCTCAATTAAATATAATTCTATATAAATAATAAAATCTTGTTTTAAAACATTTAGGTTTACAATATTCAAGCTATTGTTTTTTTCAATTTCAATATTGCAATTTGCGTTTGCTTAAATGCTTAACAGAAAATATGAAATTACAATGAAATTTGTAAATTGAAAGACTTGCTTTAAAAAATTTAGAACATATACTCGTAATATTAAAAAATAAAAATTTAATATTAGTTGCGGACAAATTTAATAACAATAATTCATTAGGACAATATGTTAGCAGCCTGTGTATGATTATTTTATTTTTTCATCACGATGCAATCACTCATTGCTTTATAATTGGATAGATTCTAATGTTGAATTTTGATGATGGGAAATGTAGCATTAGCACAAATAGAGATGTGTAAAAGATCTGGCCAAAAGTGTAAGGGTGGAAAAGAAACAAAAACCAGCTTTTGCCTGCTATTATTTTCTTATAGTAAGTTTTCTTGGAATACTTTTCGTATATGTTAATCTGATTTATTAGTCACTAAATTGTAATCATGAATTCCATTTTGTTTCGAGTTTGACGAGAACGGAGATGTTTTAACTGGAAAGTTATCAAATTATCACTTAAGAATAGATATCCATTATAATACATCGCCAACGATATTATGTTAACGTTTTTCAAAACACTTTTGAACTACTAATTTGAAAATAACGTAAATAATAAGATCGAATCTTATATTTATATAATAGAACTCATTTTAATATATTGCCCGCCTATTCTTTTAAAGCTTTCATAAAATTCCAACTTTTACAGTGAATTATTTGTATTAAAATTCTACTTCTTCGATTCAAAATTAATCTATTTAATTAATATTAGTACATGTTATGGTTTGATATTATCTAAAATCCATTTCATATATCTTGGAACGTTGGTATAAATCGATCCACCACTTTCTATAACGCTACCACATTCAATTCCAGGACCAGCTGCTACAATTCCAAATTGAAGAAATTTTTTTGTTTCACCAATTTTTAGTTGTTTTTGTTGAAATAATGGTCCACCAGAATCACCTTTACAACTATCAACTTTGTTTTTACCAGCAGCACATATTAACTTTTCATTTACATCTATAGAATAAGTTTTAGAATAGAAGTCTTCACATTGTGGTCTTTGTGTATTAATGTCAAGTGTGCCTTTTAGTAGTACATGCGATACGTTTCCTTTAAAAAAATATTAGAAATAATTTTAGTTTAAATAAACAAAAAAGTTCTGTATAGATCTTTCAATACCTTTTTCTGTTGTACCCCAACCACTTAACTGTCCTGTATTAAAAACTGTGTTTCTTAGTTCAGCATTTGTCGGCAAACATATTGTATAGACATTGTTTCCTGAAAAATGCACATTTTAACAGAGTTTTCTTAATAATCTTAAAAATTTATGTTTAAAATTTGTTAATTATAGTGCCTAGTTCTTTTATATTCTATATGCAGTTAAACTGAGACAACCTTTGTCATTTCTTTTAAAAAACCTTAAGATGTTTTGTTGAAACAAAAGGATAACTAAGACGTGTACCTAAACCTATTTCTTAGATATTTCCTAAGTCCAAAGTATAATTTAAATGCCTATTATATTTTCATATTTGTTTTTTTTTTCTTACTTTTAACATCTGCTGAACGTGTTAGTCGTAACAACGCAATATCGTTTTCTGCCTTAAATCTATCGAACTTTGAGTGTACAGTTTTGCTTTCTATTGGAATATCTTGAACAGGATCATTGCAATCAAATCCACTTTCTTCCTCCTCATCTTTTACACAATCCATATCAGTATTGACGTCGTGTTCTCCCAGTCGGACACTAAACCTGTGATTTTAAGAACATTATGTATTAAACTAAATATTTGCGTTATTCAAAACGAAAGTATTGAAGGGTTAGCATCTTCGATTAAACATGATTATGTCAGTTATTGAAATTGTTAATATTATAACGGCTCAAATAAATTTTCTCTTTTTCATATGTATTAGCCGCAGGAATCGCATTGATTTTCGTAATAAAAAAACTGCTTCAGAAAAATTTAAAAGTTTTACACACATTTGAATTTTTTTATTATAAATTATTTGCCGCGTTGGATTTCAAATATATTATTGCGAAAAACGAAACTAATTATCGTAAATGAATAAGTTAATACACTATTTTGTCGAATTTGTAGAAACTATAACAATCTTTCCCTTTAAACTTTCAGTGTGCTTTTTATATATCCCAATGATATTTGTACCTATATAAATTAAAGATATATATCACTGCGAGAGGGTTATTCATCAAGTGTACTTTTGTACATTTGTGTGGAAATTACAAGTTTTTCGCAGTTTTTTCTGTGTATATTCCTTTAATTAACCTATTTTGGGTTATCAAATACAATTCTTCGAATACTCTTCCGAATTATGAACGGTATATTTTTCAATAAATGACCTGTGTTTGAAATGTGAAATTTTTTTACATACAAAGTAGAACGCACACAATGAGCAGCAGTCAAAACATATTTCTCATTTATAAGTGTTCCACCACAGCCAAAATATGGTTTTTCTACATCAAACTGAAGTAATGCCATAAATGGAAACTCTCTTAGTCCTGTGATTTCTCCAAATGATACTTTAAACTCATCTTTCATTAGGCCGCATTCAGCAGGTAATAAATTTAAGTTTGGGTGTAAATCAACATCTGAAATATCTGCACGATTTACGTTTGGAATAGTTGGTATTCTAGCAGGAATAACCGGTTTAACTTGCACATTTTCAGTTAGTAAATTTTTTCTGGCATACTCAGGATTAATATGTTTTAAAGTGCAGCAAAATTGCTAAAAAAAACCATAATAAATGTATATACAAATTTAATAAAATTTTTGTAGGAAAAATTATAAATTTTTTACCTGTTCCGAATCATCTGCACATTTTGAGTTTTCTATGAACGTTTGATACTCTGATGGAAATGCATTTAATGCCACCCCACTAATATCATTTATAATTTTGCATTGTGATGTTGGCACACACCAACCGTTCTCATTTTCAGGAGATGGCGTTCGACATTCTAAGAAAAAATTGAGAAAAAAAATGTTGTTTTGAAATTGTAGGTAAAATTTTCGTTCTGTTCTGTAAGTACAACAAAAACTAAGCTTCGTTATATTATGTAAATTTGAATTGAAAATTGTTTTAGGCTGATTCATATTTATGAACATTGTAAATTTTATTGAAAGTTTTTGTATTGGCTATTCTTTTTAATAATTTAAATTTTAATTTAATAATTTAAATTAGATTTTCTATGATAATTATGTTATAAGAAGAAAACCCATATAGAATTAATTTTGATTGAGAATGTTTTGTATATTTTTTTCAATTTCTGAGAATGTAGCCTCATAAGAATATTTTAATGTCGAGCTTATTGTTTATGCGTATCTTTTTTTACTTACTTGTTGCAGCTAAAATATCGTTAAGGTTTGTCAAAAAAATTAATAACACATTTGTTAAAAATATCAATATTTTACACATTTTGCTTTTCACTTTATATTTAATAAAAAAATAAATTTATATAGATTTTATTTGCCGAATATTATATTTGCGCGTGTTCACCCATACATAATATAGTTATGTATATACGACATTAAAAATGAAATCTGGTTTTAAAATACATTAACACTAATATTCAAATTAATTTTTTTTTTTAAAGTTTTGATTAGGTTTATAAAATTTTATAATATAAAGTAGCGAATTATTTTTGCGTCCGAATGTATCGAAAATAATTTTAATACTAAATATTAAAGAGCAAATTACAAAAAAAATAATAATATAAAAAACACACAAACAATTTTATGAGAATTCTGTATTAATAATATTCATCAAGTTCAAGTTAAGAGATTGAGACTTGTTTTAAAATATTTATTTATAAATATATACTATGCGTATGTATGTATGTATATATCCAAGAAAATAAGACTTAACTTACTATAGTGAGTTTTATTAAATTATTTTGATTTTAAAGCAATTATGTTATAGTTATAGGTAGATATATATGCACTTATAGCTACACATTATAGCTCTACATTACATACAATATAACTTAATTGTTAAAGTTTATAATGATAAGTTATTAAAAACGATAACTTATTCAATTTAAAATGTATTGCATTTACAAACAATATGAAACAATCAACTGGTTTGCCGCAATTTTCAATATTGGTTTTATTTATTGAAATAGTATATTTTAAGTTGAAGTGCACAAAACTTACCGTTGTTTTTAAACTTTTCAATTTTATTTAATTCTTTTCATGCAAAAAATATTTAAATTAGTGTGGGAAAAAAAAAACTGATCCCTTTGCTCATCTTGCAATACTAAATTTTTAAATGTTTTAATAATACTCCAATTATTGTTGCAACAATGATATGAAAGTGATTAAGTTTCTGTTTGTGTTTCACTTAGGCATGTATAAGATAGTGAACGTAAAACAGCGCAGGCGTTGTGTACACTCTCAGGCAGTTCTACAAACCTACAGTAACGAAAAGTTACACAAGCTATTTCCTGGAAAACAGCTTAAGATTTTGTAAGAGAAATAGATATGCCAATTAAATTAATTTACAGCTATTTTTTTCTTACCTATCTGTTTTTTATCATCTTTCGATATTTTGCCTTTTTAACAATTTATAATGTCACGGAAAACTTTTTGTTCCCGAGATAAATTCAAATATGTATAAGTAACCTCTTGCGGAGAATATTTCACAAAAAACAAAGTAGCAAATCGTAATTCAAAATTTATTGGTAAGTATGTTATTTAAATTATTCCCCAATAAAAAAAAATTAACAATATATTATGCATTGCCTTTAATGGAATACAACACGTTGATCTTCCCCGAAGTATAGTTAAAAGCCATTCCTAAATAGAACGTTCTTATGAAGAATAGGAAAAACTAATCCACAAACTTTAATGTGCTGCTTTATATAGGGTGTTATAGTTGGGAGTACCTGAAAATGTTAGCTATTTTTTTTTAATCGTACGCATTTTCGACCCCGTTAAGTGTTTTTTGTCCCTCAAATAAGCAGATGAGCTTTTGAAATATTATGTAAAACCTTTTTAAAAATAGCTTAGGATGTTAAAATATTAAGTAGATTTGGTGGAAAAAATTTAAAAGGTAAAATCTAAAATTTAGGTATTTTTTAGAAAAATAATGCAATTAAATCTTATTTTACCAAAAAACATTTGGTAAAAAAACAAAAATTTGCGCAAAAAACAAAAATTAAAACAAATTTCTAACCTATTGACTTTCAAAATTGATAAGTTTACGTTTTTATTCCTTAAAAAAGTTTTAAATATGATTTTTCATATTTAATCCAACAACAAAAAAAATTTTTAAATCTTGTGTGAGTAATTTAATTTCTTTTTTATAATATTTAATAATCTACTTGCTTTGAAGAAGAAATCTATATATAGATTCGAAATCTCAATCCAAAATTAATTCAATTTTTTTTTTTCAAAAGCATTGATACTTTTAATTAAAGCAACAACAGAAAGCACGTTTATTGAATATTATTATAATATTTATAATATTATAAATTGGGTTTGTATGACTAACTTTAAACAAAGCTTAATTTCATTGTACGTTTACATTACTTATATCTTGTATTGAAATGGTAGTATTCATTAACCTTTAAATTTAATTGAAAACTTGTTTTTGGAATTGCTACAAAGCAGTTCAATGAAATTTTAAAATCTTAATAGATATTGTTATACTGAAAAAAATTGGGGTAAAATTTAAAAATTTTGCAATATTATTTGTGTTACAATAATATTTTTATTGATAAGTAAGAATAATATTTCGGAAAACACTTTGTCTTACTCGACTCAAAAATTTTTTAAAAATGTTTCCAGTTGTTCAAAGCTGTAAAATTTTAAATTGCTTTTTTCTCTAAAGTTTGTATACGAAATCAACATATTACACAACCTTATTTAAGAAAAAATTCAAAAAAATTTCTAATCTACATGACATCAATGGCACTTAACTGGTTAAATTAAATATTTTCTAACTATCTAATTTGCGTATAAGTGTTTCTAAGAGAACTTTTTCGTAAAATTGTTAAAATTAAATTTTTTATAATTTATTTTTCTTAAGCAAATATTAAAACTTCATTTCAACAAATAATTAACTAATATAATCTTATAATTTCTATAATTAAAATATTCATTTATTAGCTTACTTTAAAGTATTCTTAAAAAGTGGAAAATAAATGTCTTAAAATAGAATGTCTTAAAATTCTTCATATAAAACTGTCATGGTTTTATATTATCTAAAATCCATTTCATATATCTGGCAACATTAATATAAAGTGATCCACCATTTTCAGTTGAATTACCACATTTAATCTGTGGGCCCGATCCAACTATTCCAATTTGAAGATATTTTTTAGTTTCTCCAATTGTAATTTGTGCATACTCAAATAGGGGTCCACCGGAATCACCTTTGCAACTGTCTTCTTTTTCTTTGCCTATTGCACATATTATTCGATCAGTTACATTAACAGCATGAATTTTGTTATAGTAATCTTGACATTTTTGCCTTTCTGCGTTTATATATAGCAAAGCTTTTAGTAAAATATCGGACACGTTACCTAAAAAAAAACAAAAAGGTTTACGAGAACAATTGCTTTTTATTATTATTATAGAAAAAAAAAATATTTTAATACCATTTTCTGTGGTTCCCCAGCCAGTTAGCAATCCTATTTTGGAATTTTTGTTTCTTAATACAGAATTTATCGGTAAGCAAATAGGTTTGACGTTGTTTTCTAAAGGTGTTTTAAAGTGTTATTTAATTTTTTTATATATTTATTTAGATAATAAGACTTTATTTAAGGATGCGAGAGTTGTTCATTGTCATATATAGATAAATACATATATGTATGTGTTAATAGCCGTTCATGAAAGAATTAATATAAATTGAAGGTTTAATTTTAACACCGTGCTTCGCTCTGATTAAGATTTAGACTAAAGGTCGTGCAGTAAGTTAACGGTCAGTGTTATGATTTCAGTTCGTCGATTGATAGCTTAGTTAATTTTATAAACTATGAAGTTCGTTAGAAGTAATGGTTCACGGTAAAAGTTTTTATCACTTACTTTTCATATTTGCTGGACGTATTAAGCGTAATAATGCAATATCGTGTACTGCTTGGAATTTATCGAAGCTATCGTGTACAGTTTTACTTTCAATTGGAATATCTTGAAACCGATCATTGCAATCTAATCCATCTTCTTTATTTTCATCTGGAATGCAATCGATTTCCATTTTTGCATTATATTCACCAAGACGAACACTAAACCTTTTAATTTAAAAAATAAATATATGTCACAATAGAGGCTAAACGTATAGTCGTTTACATACAAATCACCGCGTACACAATGGGCAGCAGTTAGAATATATTTTTCATTAATTAGTGTCCCACCGCAACGAAATGCCGGCATATTTCTATCATATTGTAAGCGAACCATAAATGGAAATTCTCTTAGTCCTGTTGTGTTTCCATGTCCTACTTTTTTTGCATCTTTCGTTGATCCACAATCATCCGGTAATAAATTTAAATTTGGATGAGTGTCAATGTCTAATATATCTTCTCGATTAATATTAGGAATTCTTGGTATTTTAATACTAGTAGAATTTTGAAGACTTTCAGTTATTTCTACATCATCAATTCTCGCCTTATTAATTAAATCATTACTACTGGCAAATTCAGGATTGATATGATCTATTGCACAACAAAAACGCTAAAAACAAATTTTTTATGTGCTCAATATTTATTTCAGTGAAGTGCTAACCTCTTCTATTTTACTAAGACATTTTGAATTTTCTATAAACGTTTGGTATTTAAAGTCAAATACTTCAAGTGGAATATCTTTAATATCGTCCAAAATTTTGCATTGCTCTGTTGGTACACACCATCCAATTTCATTTTCTGGATCTGGTGTACGGCAACTTGTAATTGCTAATAAAAAGCAAACACTCTGTAGTCAATTTAATAATGAGAATAATTTAAATTTAAAACAAAATCGAATAATAAATAAATTAATTTCTATTATTCTAAACAAAGATTATATTATAGTTATATTTTGTTATTGTTATTTGTTTTTCAAGAACACACAAGTTTGTTTGAATATTGTCGTAAAACCGGACAGATTCTAACTGATTGGAAAATAAAATTTGCTCCAAAAAATTATCTTATCGTGATTATTTTTTTAAATTAATGATTCTTAATATAAATTAAAACTGCAATCAAAAATTAATAATCTGAAATTGTATTTTTACTTACGTATTGCTGCAAAAGTGTACTTTAGACTAGTAGTCAAAATTAATACATTTATTAAAATCTGAAAAATTCTTTTCATATTTTTCTACTTTAATTATAATTTATGAAATATAATTTCAAAGAAATTTAATACCTTCTCATAACTTATAATTAATTTATTCAAATTAAGACTGAAATAGAAACTTTGTTTTTACAACGGGATATCGCGGATAACTTATATTAGTTTCGATATTTTTCTATACAAGATGACCTTATACATAAACGTCCGAATATGTTAAAATTAATATTAGTACTGACTATATACAGATGAAATATAAATTTAATATATTATGAAATTTGTAAAATATCGAAATAAGCTATGTATTCAAGTTTAAGTTCGAAAAACCCGTTTAAAAATATGAGCGTTTACACATTAATATTGTTACAATTTTATTGCAAGAAATTTAAAAATAAATCCGAATGAATTAAAATTTCAGATTAGATTTCAGATGTGAAAGAAACAACAATACCTCTATATATTCCTGCCTGCTTGTCCCGGAATTTTAGACTCCTATAATTTGTAAGAAAACGTTTAATAAACGACTGGCATTGTAATATCTGCCTACCTATTCTGTTTCGAAACAGAAGAAGCTAGTCACTACCTTTCTGTGTTAGTAAAATTTAAAAAGTAATTGTGGTTTCGATTGACGACAACAAAGTTCATAATTGTACTACCTATAGTGTTTTTAGGACTTTAAACTTATTTTATGTTATGTTATACGTTTCCTTTAATTACGTATTTAAGATGAAGTATATTATGTATGTTGTTATACACTAAAAAATTTCTGAGCAGGAAAGAGCCTTACAAGAAGGCGGTATGTACTCGAATCATACATAGCTCTTAATTAGTGTTTATGTATAGACTTATTTTTATTAGTTGTATTTTATAATCTTATATGAGTAATAAATGTTAAAGGAATTACCCTAAAAAATACAGATTATGTTGCATATTACTTTATAATAATACACTTGTATGTGAATTATGTTTAAGGTACATCAGACAATTTACAAAAAATTTACGATTTAATTTACGATAACATCTGCGGAGCATTAGATATTAGATTCGTTTTAAATTTTAATGTCAGATTTTGACAGAAATATGCTGAATATTTAAAAAAAAAAAACAAAAATCAGCTGATCGTGGTAAAATTTTTGAAAATTAATTTTCCATCATGTAAATTTTGAAAAATTTGACAGAAAATCAGACGAAATCGGATATGTTTCCATTTTTTTCATCTGATTTCAATTAACATCAGATTTTCATCGGATTCAAATTTAATCGTAAATTAAATCTGATGTGTAACAGGCACCTAATAATAATTATTTACGTAGCATGTATACTAGCATCTAAATAACATACTCCAGCATAAAAATATTGTTGAAACGCAATATTGTTAAAATAAACAGCACAAAATAAAAGAGAAAAAGTATTAGATATAATACATATTTTATGTCTATTATATATGGGGATATTGTTTTAATTTACACATACATACGAGCAGTAAAATTGATATTTAAGCCAAGCTTTGCCAATTTTCTTAAAAGAATGAATATGAGAAGAAGAAATCGAATGATTTTGTGATAATCACATAAAGAAAAACTGAATACCTACTATTAAAAAACATCAACTTTATAATGTATGCATTTGGAAAATATAATATTAATGATTAATCGAGAGTGTATAACAATTTAGGATTTTAAAAACAGTGGTTATAAGTTTGTATGTTGCAATTTAATTTACAACAGGAAAGTTGTATACAAAACTAACTGTTGCGCTTAATGTTGTCCTTATGTCACTGTCGCTCTTTTTTTTTCAACTCTCAAATTTGACAAAATATTATTGAGAAAAATACAAAACTTTTCGTTTTCTTTTTTATTTTTATGTTTCTTTTTTTATACAATATTTTATACAATATTGATCGGATTTACATATTGTACACAGGTAGAAACAATCACAAAATACATTTGATATGTTTAAAAAATTATTAAACATTGTTATAATTATTATTATAAAAAATATTTTCCATTTTATCAAAAAGATTTACTTTTTCTCAATAGTTTTAGTTATATAGAATTGTGTTAATAAAATGAAAAATGTCACAACCATTCCGATGTATGCCAATAACATTTTATTGTTTAATTCGATCATGCCAAATATTCGAACATGTAGTCGATTTAATTTTAATGTAAACATTATGTGCTCAATCTAAAATAAAATATTAAATTCAGAATGAGTGAAACTATGCATATTAAAAAATATATGTTGTATAATTATGACAAACTCAAAATAGAAAAATAAAAAACTGTTATACGAAATATAAAACTGTTATATGGAAAAATATAGATACGTTTAATGCAAATTATTGATAAAAATTATAAGCCAAAAAATTATTTTTAGTAATATTAAAATTAATATATCAAATATTATTGCTTTAATACATAAATTAAATATTTGTTTTAAATTATAAATGTTTTCTATGAATAACTGTATTGAATACTTTGATCAATGACCAAACTAAATATACCATATAAATTTTTTTTCTACAAATTTCAGCCTCGATTTCTTATATATTTGAAATGTAATATTATTAATTAGCAATTTTATATAATTTTTTTGAATCTAATTTAAGGGTACACTATAAAAAAAATCATGTAAAATTACTACAATAATACTAGGATTCTGAATTCCTAGTATAATTGTAGTGAAAATGCTCGACGATAGTAAAATATTACTTACAATTGTTATATGTATATGCTCTGAACGAAATACTGTTATACAAGTGTAAAAATTCATCTAAGATTTAACGTGTATTTTCCATATAAAAATATAATGCCAGCAAAAATATAATGCTATCGGACAGCACAAACGTTATAAACTTCTTTTTAATTATTATTATCAGCCTAATTTATTAGGTTTGGAAGTTAATATACCCTTAAATGGAATTATAATATAATTTTATAAAATGATTCACCATAATAAATAATAAAATAAAAATTTTCCTATACAATAAAAATTTCTACAAGCTTTCATTTTTTACTTAAATCGAATATTATTTACGATTATTATAGGAGAACCGTTATAAGTATAACAGTTTATATTTCTATATGAATTGGTACAAGAAATAATATTAAAATACAGTATAAGTGAGAATTATAATTCATTAAAATTATTAATTGAATCATGAAATGAATAATAGCAATTAATATAACAATGCTATATATTGTGAACATAAAAATTTTCAATTGGTTTATTAAAAATTTTTAAATTATAATATTTTATTATACTTACCATTGAAATAAAATTTCTTGAAGTCTTTAAACAAAAATTAATTTCAAAATTTTGAAAAATAATTTCATAAATTCTTAATTTTTTTCTTGTTAATGAATCATATGTTGTTATAGCTGGAACAGTACTTAACATATTAGAAACTGTTATTTTTAATACAACCGAAAATGTATCAATTTTAAATACAAAATAACTTTCTAAACAATAATAACATGACATTAGTGTAATAATAAAAGAAAAATAAAATGATAAAATAATAAAATTCTTATAATAATCATTAAAATATTTAATTATTTTTGAAATTTTTAATAAATCGTTATACAATTCAAGTATATCTTGTCTATTTAAATTATTTTCTATAAAATTTTCTATTTTATGTTATTTTTTATATTTTAAATTAATTAATTTATAAATTTTATCATATAATATCATTGAAAATATATTAATTAAAACTGAAAATATACTGGTCATTGTATACAACCAATATACATATAAAAAAATTATTAATGTTAAATAATTCCAAAAATTTAAATTATTTTTAACTGATAGTTCAATATCAATTGATGTATCAAGTATAACTTTAAGAATAATTACAATGAAAATCATTATTAAATGATAATAATTATTTTTTTCATAATTTTCAAATTCTTTTCTATAATTCGATTCAATTTTCACATAAAATAATTTAGTGAAATTTAATATTTTTTTATATTTTATAATATTTTTTAATAATGAATTATTTAATGCACAATATAATAAATTTAATGATAATATGAAATTAGCTATAGTCGTGGCAGCAATACTAATTGAATCAATATTCATTGATTGTATTTCTAATATTATGTTTCTTGTTAAAATAATTGCGATTCCAATAATAATTTTGAAAAAATTTAATAAATAAATTCTTTTTAAAGAATATAGTTCAAAATTATCATAACTTTTAAAATTTGTTATACTGAAGAATTCAATGCAATATAAAAGAATCTTAGCAGAAAATTTTGATATTTTATTAATTGTAATATTCGCCATTATTCTACGAAAACTATTTTTTTTATTTAACTGTCTTTATTAAACGAACAATGAATTAAAATTGCAAAAAAATCGATACCGCGTGTAAACCGTATAATATTGAATTAAATTTAATTATAATATTAATAATATATTGAATTCGGAAATTTATTACTATTATATTCGAAGAAGTGGTATACAACCATTTCTAAATTACGTGCCAAATAGTTTAATTTTAAAATATTGCGATACTCTTAGCAATTTGTATATTAAATTAAAAATTATGATAAAGAATTCTTACCTCAACTTATTCAAAAAATTTATACATTAAATTAAATTATGAATATGCATTAGAATCAAATGAAATTATTATAAAATATAAAAATATTTTTTCGACATAGCAATTTTGGAATAATGATTTTTTCAAATATAATATTAAAAGAACAGTTCCATCAATTAACAAAATCCTTTGTTGGTGCTTGCTTGCCTATGTAGCAATTTTTACCATATTAAAATACCATATTGTTATACAGAATTTTGTGAAATGTTCGCGGTACCTAGGTTGTCAAAAGTGAAAAATTTAACTACAGAACTTCAAATGTTTGGGTATTAGAACTTTATAATTTAATGGAATGGGTAACACTTAAATATATGTTATTAATTTAATTACCTTATTTGTTTTAAATAATATTTGTTTAATTAAAAAGTTTGTATATTATCGCGTTTTTGTTTTCAATTAGATTTACAGAATTTTCATATATTCGCCATTAGACGTTATGTGTAATTTTTTCTATTTGTTTAAAATAATGTAACACTTCAAATTACTCTTGAATACTTATGGGAGTAGTTTATGTATAGAGCGCTATTTTTTGTTATCTGCTGTTATACAAAATTAAAAACTTATAAATGACAAATTCTTAAATGCGCTCAATTAG